AACATCTCAGCCTCAGCTGCTGGATTGGTGCCCACTTGCTTTTGGTGGGTTTTGGGTGCCGGAGGAGCAGCACCCTGGCACAGCTATCATACACCCTTACCCCAGCTGCAGTGGTTACGTGGGCTGCTAAACACTTTCTCAAGGTCTTGCACACAGCTTCCAAAAGCTTGTGATTCCATCAAGACCATTTAAACAACCTTTAAAACACTGTTAACTGAAGAGACCACCAATGCAACTTTACCAAAAAAAGTCAGGGGGTCTATGCAGACACACACACGCAACTCAGGCTCAGTTTTATTCATGAAATGTGAGTTTTGCTAACTTTCTGTAAAGGAATGCAGGTGAACTTCAGTCTCTTCCTATGCCTGCAGTTACAGAGCTGTAAATCCCACTGACTTTAATGGTGCGGTACCCGGCCAAGCGAGGAGCGCGTGTGCCCGGGGAGGGGTAGGACGAGCAGCGCGCCGGACGGGCGCAGAGCCGTGGGCAGCAGCTTTGGGTGGTCAGCCCGACCTCCAGCTGCTGGTCTTGGCTTGCTGCTGCCACCGGCAAGTCAGGCTGGGCCATCTTTTGTATTCCTCAGCACCACGGCACGCTGTCATTTTCTGTCACGGAGGACAGCTAAATAATCTGCCGTTGAGTTGATAACCGTGTAGCTGCAAAACTTGATTTAGAGACGTATGGCCATAGAGCCAATAGACCGCGCTAGTTATTCCTTTCAAACAGCACAGCAAAAATCTTTTGTCTTGATATTGAGCTTTTCATAATCATGTTTTTAGCAATACTACAAATTGCAGTTAAGCGGTTTTTGCTTGTGTCTGTGGCACTAATCTCAGTCTTTGTCCCGCTCCAGTTAATAGGCTGCATTATTGGCAGACAAGGCAGTAAGATAAATGAAATCAGGCAGATGTCAGGAGCGCAGATCAAGATTGCTAATGCCACAGAAGGCTCCGCAGAACGACAAGTTACAATCACAGGATCCCCTGCAAACATCAGCTTAGCACAGTACCTCATTAATGCAAGGTAAGTTTGCTTTGTAAGTGATAATGCTTCTGCGAGATTGCTCTGTCTGCTCTCCAGCAAATGTCTGTCCTGGATAGATCCAGAAAGTTGCTTCACAGTGTCCATTTTGCATAGCATTATTCAATTCCTAATGAGTTGTAAAGCTTGTGTCATTAGAACCTGTGTTTGCTGTCGGTTTATATGGAAAGGAGCTTAATCCTGTGCAATTCCAGGTACATGTTGAATGACAAGAGCTGAAAAATCTGAATACTCACATTAGTATCCACCGAAAATATAGGCAGATAAATGAAATGAGATGACAAGCATAAATTCTTTAGAGGAAAATACTTTTCACAGACCCATTTTACTGTCCTAAATGGCAAATATAGTGAAACAGAGGGCGAAACAGATTTAATTTACTAACTGGAAATTGCCACTCAGAGTTTACATTAAACTGACATTCGGTTGCTAAAGAGGCACGGGATTTATTTTTTCAGAGACAGTATCACAAATTTGTAAAAAGCATTCCCTAATGAGATGGGGGTGAGACTATCTGCTTCTCCACTTCTTGGTGCCAGAATTAATGAATTAACACTGGCTGTTAGCTAAAAGCCGTATGTTTTGATATGATTATTTAGAAAAATATTAAAATTGATACCACTTTTATTTGCAATTATCCTGAGAAGAAAGTGCAACGTGTCTAGTGCTGTCTCATAGATCTACTTGTAAACGGTGGACCAAGGCAATATATTGTGGGAGGGCGAGTATCTATGTATTTTATTGCCTTTTTTTTTTCTCCCCCCTTTTCTTCCCCCCTCAAAAATACTGTGATATGAATCAAGCTTTGTGTTTAACTATGTTTGCTGTTAAGGTAGTGGAAAGTATGGGATTTATGGGGGGGTGGGGGGGTGCTGTAGTCATAGCAAGTCTACAGCTTCTTACGGTGCAGCCTCCTCGCCAGCCCAGCTCCGTAGGGCACCACTGCGAGCCGCTGTAAATGTCTTCATGGAGGAGAAGGATGGTTGTGCAGGGCTGTGTTACAGCAAAGAAAAACATTACTTTTTATAATTCAGTTTGAAAGTAGTTTCCTAGAGAAAGATATATTGAGGGGTGGCATTGTGAAGCCTAAGATAAGCTGTTTCCAGAATCCTAAAACAACCTACAGCTCTTTTGATTTATATTCTTTGTAGCAACTATAAGTCACTTCCGTCAGCCCTGTAATCAAATAAAAATGTGTTCCCTCCTTTAACCCTTAAGGATATGTTCTTCTCTTGGTGTTCAGGGATTCCCCACACATCGAGACGAGAATAGACCCCTTCATTTTTAGTTGCACAAACACCATATGGCATGCATCTGGATCTGAGAAGATAACAATTTAAGATCTTCAAGACAGCTAAAGCATGCAAATAAAATAATGCACTTATTAATGGAGTTGCAGTGAGCTGCTCACCAGGGACAGAAACTCTAGTGAACAAACACCTCTGTTTGACTCACTTTAGAAAAGCCTGTGAACTCTCACACTTCTGTTCATTGCTGTTTAATGATTCTTTTGATGGAATGGGATATATATGAGGTCTTTTAACATACTTTTGCAAAGAAGAAAACTTCTCAGCAGTCATATACCACGGATACTCTATCTATACCCTGTGAAACCAGAAACAAAATATTTTCTTCCTGTTGAATTTCTAGTTAGAAGTCATTTGTTACCATCATCTACAATAAACCATCATCTATTATTATGTACCATGTGTTGAAACTGTATTTAGATGAAGTGACTTCATTTGTAAATGAAGACTCTTAAAATAATGTATAATAAATTAAGCTCTAAGGTAACATAGGACATTCAGGTGGCTTTTTCATTTTAAAAAGTGACACTGTTCCAGATTTCTCCTTTCAGAAGAGAAATTCCTGTCCAGTTAGGTGTCACCGCAGCAGCAGTGCTAGTTTGCAGTCGCACTGAAGGAAGAACTGGGAAAGTTTCAAGCAAGAGGGAGGTCTGCTCTAGCTGGGCTTTAGGTGCCTGGGCAGGTTTCTGGGAAGCAGATCTAGGCTGCTGCTGCCTGGGCACGCTGGGAGCCAATTTCAGTGTTTGCCAGTCCTAAACCTGCCACAAGTACTGCTGTCTCTTTTAAAGATGCTGGCATGAAATAAACAGTGTTGGGGAAGAGCTGAGTACAGTACCTAGGCTGCCCAAGGTATAATCTGGTATGTCAAAATTATAATTATAATAAATAAAAGCCATATAAGCATTCAGGGCAAGGTGGACTTTTTTTTTTTTTTCTTCTCTCCCACAAGATCTGTCATTCTTGTGGATTTGGTTTCCAGGGCCAGTATTTCTGCATAAATCAGTGTCTCACAGCAGCATAGGGTGTAAACAACAACAAAAAAATCTATCCACAGTATTCCTGAAACGTTCTGTGTGTATCTTTAAACTATCCTCCAACCAAAGTTACTATCTATAGAATAATTTATCAAATTGTTTTAAGACTTGTATTGCAATCCGATGTCAAATATGTACATAATATACTCTAAATTATAGATATATAAATACATTGATAAAATATCAAGACAGAGATTTAAATCTTTCTAAAGTATTGTTTTGATTCTGTATTGATTACCCGAGCGTTGACCTTTGTATGAGTAGAACATGTCCTAGCTTGTTTGCAGTAGAAATGTCTTTTTTTTTTCCTGTAAAAATCTTCTGTCTCTTAACTGGTCTCCACTGTAGTAGCCGGATTTTTGTTATCCGATTCTATCTTCTAGCTTTTATTAAGAATGAACTGCAGTTTAGGTTTCCTGTGTAATATTTGACTTTGGATTACAAATGAATTGTAGCTGGCAGCACTTGCTCCTTGTTGAAGATCAGTTTCCTGAAGATATTTTTTTACTGTCATTTTGATGAGAGGTTCCTTCACAGAGCTAACAGGACAACCAAAGCCACACTCGAGCTTTATTCCTTTCACCAGTTTTGGGTAATGCAGGATGTGGCCTTCACTGTATACAGTCATAAAGTGTAGGTCTTCAAAGGGACAGTGTAAAATTGGCACCATGAAATTTTGTATGAAGGCTTTCACATTCAACTTTCTTGCATCTACAATTGGTTTGGGAAACTGCCACTGTCACAGGACAGCTGATATAGCTAACCTGACATACTTTCACCTTATACGTTACCACCAGTAATAAATGTGAAGCAGGGCAAATTACTGCTTTAATCGTACCTGTGCGAGTACACCAGAGACAGGGAGTTTGAGTGGCAGCGACCAACACCAGCATTTAGCCTGTGGGATCTATTCTCCCTGCTGGTGCAGGCAAAAGCGCAGGCTCAAATACCTCCCATATCAGTAAGGACTTTTTTGGTTTTATTAAATGCAAGGTAGGCAAATTTGGAGTCACTGAAACACTGGGTCCTGAGTCTTTCTATATGCCTCCCTCCCAGAATAATACTGAGTTAGAAATATAAAAGAATCCAACCGTATAAACTCAGTTTTTCAAAACCTACTAAGGTGTCACCATGTACACCCCAAGTCGAGGATGTACACTGGAGTTGGATGCACTGATTCAGTATTCTTGATGTAGATCCCGCTGTGTGAGTAGATTGCAATAGAACAGCTAACAGCACAGGGATGCTCTTCTTGCTGCAAACAACAAATCTGCTGCGAGGGTTAGAAAAATTCTGAGGTGCTTATCCATGGGGACAGATAAACACCATGGGGTAGGAAAACCAAAGCTTTACCTCCCACAAATGGGTCTGCATTTCACGCACTCGTCCTCCTCCCCTCCCAGCCCCTCGGAGAAGATGTGCGCCTTCCAGATTCCCAGCAAAAGCTGCTGAGGAGTTAATACTCCAAGAGCCTTCTTGCTTTTGTGGGGAAGAGAGGAGCCCAGCACTCAAGCATTTCCCATCTCTCCTCCACACTCCTCTCCCCAGCTCAGACTCGCTTCAGGTATCCTTTAGACTCACCGTCAGCAGCAGCGCTTTGGGAAGCTTTAGTCCAACGTCCCCATCCCCTATACAGGGCTGACCGATCGCTTGCAGCCTTGCCCTTGTGCAAAGCAGGCAGGCCTTCTGGTCATTGCCTTTCTCTGGCCATGAACAGACCAGGGGCTGTGACTCTCAAAATTGCATGTAAGGCTAAGATGAGGGAAAGTGAGGCTCTTCCAAGCCCTGGGCAGGGTGACCACACTCCCCTCCCAACCTGTAGCCCGGCTACAGCTGCTCTCTAAGGCTGCACAGCCAGCCCCAGCACCAGAGGGGACCAGCACAAACCCCGTGCTGGGACGCTTCCCCACACTGGACGGGATCTGATAAGAAAGCGGCACATCCTCTGCCACGCAGGTCCTCGGCACTCTGGGAGGGAGAAGCTGCTGCAGTTCCTCAGCTCCTCTCAGCAGAAAGCCCAGGATCCTGATAAGTTAGTAATTATTGGAAAAAAACAAAACAAAACAAAACTGGGAATTAATGCATGTATAACTGTAGATAGCAAAGATTTTCTAACCCATTGTCCTGTTTATGTGCTAGGCTGCCATACCTCCTAGCCGGTCACATGTAAAATGCATCCTGAAATTAGTATTTAGGTTGGTTGCCAACCCAAAAGCCAGTGCATAAGCTGAAACAAACAAACAGCAAAGGGAGGATTTATCTAGGTAAACATTTTGTCACCGAAAAAAACAAATTGTGTCCTTGGAATTACTGTATTTTAATGTCTAAAAATGTACAGAAAAGCCTAAGTACTTGGGCCACACTCATCTCGCCTGCCGATGGGTGGGGTTAGAGTGAAGTGAAGGTGGTTTGATACCTGCATCCTCCAAAGAGCCCGTCACTGCCTCGGGCTCGGAGGTCAGGTCAACCTGAACTTCCTCGTGCTGGCGGGGTCTGTTTGACGATGTGTATGTTGTATCCGTGTAGTACCTTGTCTGTCAGCTGGTAAGCTCTTTTATGTTCACTGTAACCACTGCCACAAGCTCAGAAAGGATATCGCTGCTGTGGAAGCCGGGGTGTTTTTTCAGTCTTCCTTTTTACTAATTTCCTTATAATTAGATTGCATAACTATTTGGTTGTGATTTAAAAAAAAAAAAAAAAAAAGTAAGTCTGGGGAAAGTACAACCCAAAGTGAACACACTGGCTAATCAGGTTTGTTTTATATGAAAAATGCACATTGACCTCACAGTGAATAAAATGGAAAACTAACTTTCTAAAAAAAACCCAAACAAACACCAAAAATTTATGCCTTAGATGGAAGCAGCAAATCATTGCTCAGTTTCCTCTCATCCTAGCAAAATGACCAAGGGTACTATTTATGTGACAAAATTTGACAAATTGAAAAAATTACCAAAACCCCCCGCGTCCCCCTGTCAAAAATACCGTAATTTTGAAAAGCAAAATTCACCATATCAGTGCTGGGGAGTAAACTTCATAGTTATTTTATGTTTTCTTTTAAGTTTCGTTTTTTCCATCTTTTTGCCATTACCTGCACCCCTTAGATTTCTTTTCTCATATGTAAAATGAACTAGCAAGCCCCCTCAACCTCTTTTTCCCCCCTCCTCCCGAAAGAACTTTAAAGTCTCAGTAATGTTTTCACCATCGAATCATGAAAAACCCTTTTGTTATTTCTCTTCTTTAACACATAACATGTTCCTCCTTTGACCCTCATTTTCCCTTTTTTTCTCTCTCTCCCTCCTCTCCCTCCCACTCGTCTGTCCCCCTCGTCCACTGATCTAATCCTGCCCTTTCGTGGTTGCTCTCCCTCCCTCCCTCTCTCTGTCCCTTCCTCCTCCTCTTCCTCCTCCCGGCCCCACCGCCCTGGCTGGACCCTCCCAACCTGTTTGTTCCTCTTCCTCTCTTCGTTTGCAGCTTAGAGATGGCTAAAGTCAGCACCCAGACCGCTTCCGTCACGACCCCTGTTGACCTCAACATGAACCTCTCTCAGTCTGCCACCCCTACCTCCACCCCCACCTCCATGGCCGTGCTGGCGGCCGCCCCCGCCGCTACCGTCCGTCCCACCTTACCAACTCTGCCAACCACCCACTATGCCGTTCCTGTCTCCAGTCTGCTTGGCATGAAAACTGTCCCACTCCTGGCACTAAATGCCGCGGCCGCTGCGGGGGCCACGGGGAGTTTGTCCGCTTACACTGCCAAAATTCCTTCGACGAGCGGGGTTAAGAAATCTGACCGCCAGAAGTTTGCTCCATATTGAAGGGATGAGACACAATGCAAGCTTTGCCAGCTCTACCAAGAGTCTGTGGTAGATCCTAGTTATCAAGGAAACAATACGGCATCTTTTATTTTCTGTTAAATTGCTAGTGTTAACTGTTGCCGACTCAAGTCGTCTTCCGCTCTCCATAACGACTAACACCCGGGCACCACCTACCAACTAGTTCCAACAGCGGGCGGGCGCCAGCCCGGGAGATTTCCCCCCAACCCCTGACACCGTCCCAACGCCGGGGCCGAGGCCAGGGCCGGCCCTCTGGCAGTCTCGCAGGGTTGCCCCCACCCCAGCAAGGAGACACCCGGAGAGAAAGAAAAAACATAAATGAGGTAAAATTTTGACAGCTGGGTCCTGCTCCGGCAAGACTGCCTGGCATATAAATACACTTACATCCATTTGAAGGGATCCCTCCAACTGCAAACAATTTTCTATGGCAAATTGGCACCTCTGATGAATTTTTCTATTGCTAGAGTCTGGAAATCTGGCACTTCTGATGATTGCTAGCGCCTCTGAAATCCCACAAGAAGTGCTGGCCCCCTCGGCCGTTCCACTGCTCTCGACAGGCCCGAAGACTCCTGTCTCCCCTGCCCCGACACCTGCCTGTGAGCAGGAGGTGGGGGCTACAAAGTCCCAAACCTCAGGTACTTCTGTGCACGATGAAGCTTTCTGGTCTAAGAAAAACTGCTAAATTAAAATGACTGGAAGACAACAAGAAAAAAAATATCAGGCACCTGTGCCTTTCCGCTTCATTCTGTTAAAGGCTGCAATGATTTTTCTCTAGTTTGGAAAAACATAATTTTAAGAACTCCATTTCAGGGAGGGAGAGCAGGCTCCTCCTTTTGCTCTCAGATGTTTTACTCTCGTATATACCGACAAAGTACTTATTTCTGTAAGTACTTAATAGTAGGTACAAATCAGACATGCACAGCCACTATTCTGGTACCCCCTCCTGCATATATTTTGTTCAGCCAAAATGACCATTTTTTGTTAGGTTTCTCTACAAAATACATCCCTATTTAACTCAGCACTAATCATGCAATCAGGTCATATTGTAATCACAAGTAAAATCTAGTGCTTATCAAAGGACATTCAAAGGTTGCTGCCTGAACAGATAACATCCCTTTATCAAGAACTTAACGATGTTCAGATTAACTAAAACCAGACACCTAACTGCAGCCAAACCAAAGAGAGCTGGGTGATGTAATGGCTGGTTGCTAGCTGTTGGAACTAGTTTTTAACTGCATTTTCTGTTTGTCCATCCACCTTCTTTTTAATTTCTGTTGCATAACTCAGTAATGCAATATGGTTTTCCTCACCACTTCCGAATCCAGAACCCCATTAGCCCGCCATGTTCATCCACTTTGCACTCCTTGGACACAAAGCTTTAACAATTGAACTGTATTCAGTGCATTTTAATATAAACTAAAAACACAATGCAAATGCAATACTTTTTAAAACATGGTATTTCAAAGTGTGTTATTATAATTGTACAGGGCTAAGTACTATCTCAGTATTTTGTGTCATTTCTGTATTCTGTGGGCTTTTCTTCACCTTAGTACCTTTGCACTAAGTTTTGTCACTGTAACCATCTGTAGAACTGCCATTGTTACAGTTTGCACTTATCCAAATGGGGGTTTTGGTTGGTTTTGTTGTTTGGTTGGTTTTCGGTTGGTTTTTTTTTGGTTGTTGTTGTTTTGGGCTTTTTTTTTTTTGTTTGTATATAACGAAGGAAAAACTGGAAATAATGTCAAGGTACCTCAGTTATTTAACAGCTCTAGAAAACTGCTGTACAAGTGTTCTGGACTATTGTAACTGTTTCAATAACCGACATTTTTTTAAAAACAAACCACCAACCTCTGTGTGAGAAAACTTGCCTGCATTGAAATGCTGTTCTATGCTGGTTGTACTCAAGTGTTATTTTTTTAATAGTGAGAAGATTTTTTTTCTTTTTTTTGCCTTTTTTTTTTTTTCTTCTTCTTTTCTTTTCCTCGTTTTTGTTCCTACATTTTAGGCTGTCTTCAGAAGTTACTGGCCTGGGGGCTCTGTAATGTATCTCATCATGCCCTAGTGCATTAGCCACCAGACAGGACTTTTCCAAAGCCCCATGAGACAATGCTTTCTATGGACTAATCTACAGAGGAGTTTCTGCCATTTCTAACTTTCTTATTATTCTGAGACATCAAAAGAAAATACTTCCTTTACTCTTTAAGCAACTGTGCTTCCTAACTCTTGTGTTGCTTTCATTACTGTTCCAGTTTTAACACTGTTGTGGCTCATAACATAAAGCAAAGAAAAGTTATTTTCGGGGGTTAATTTTCATCGATGTTCATGCTTTGGCTAATCTGTATAAAAGCATGGGCCGTTAGTGTTCTAAACCACTGTATTCAGCTAGAGACTCGACAGTAAATTAAATGAGACGTTTTTATAAATAAATTTTTTTTCTGATTTAAAAAACAAAAAAGACGTGGTAGCTTTGTGCATACAGCTGTTGTGTTGTTTAAACTTTGTTCTTTGTAACCAAGTTGCTAATTTGTCATTTGAGAAACACTATTTTATGGATTGTCAAACTAAGATCATAGACAAATTGCTTGTTTTCATTAATGATTAAAGGTTTCATATCATCACGCTTAAGGTCCCAGTGCTCATTG